AAGGCCAATCATATTGTTATTCAGCAAACATTCCTTAGCCATACAACGGCTTTTGAAGAAATATGTCGCTTCCGGCAAAAGCTAAAGGGTCTTCTGCGTAAGAAAGAGATCTTGCCGCAACCTCGGGCTTCCTCGGAGTAACGTATCGCCTCATTTACACTGGTAGCGACACGTACATGGGGGAAATGGGCGAAAACTCAGAAATACGATGCGCAAACATACGGACTGCTTAAACAAAGCAGATGATAAACGTTCACAACAGAGACAGAGGAAAACAACATCGTAAGGAACCCTGTCATCCAATGGCAATTCAGCAACAGAGGGAAACTATAGAAAAATATAGGTTATGGAAACCGTAACAGCGGATAAAACCAGCAACAAAATTAACAGACGACTATTTCATGTTGGCTCCCGCTGATGCCCCATTAGCGCTCAAGTTACCTAACGTTCTAGTATGCCTGTTTCTCCATTTAATCTATCTTACAGGATATATCCGCCAATGTACTATCTGATACAACTGTATCCGTCGCGCCTTTCAACTCTAGCTTTGAATCGGATTCAAATGAGATCATTTTTCCGAATAGGGGGCAAATACAGCATGTTTGGCTTTACGAATGATATGTAAGGAAGCGAGACTCCTTCTATGTTACTCACAAGAATACGATAAGTTCAAATTTGAATGGATAAATCATAGGTTATTTGATGCGTTCCGAGGGACCAACAACTTCATACCGATATTCATGCGATAGCATATATCCAGCTAGTGAATTATCTTTCATGCGAAGTGCGAGCTGGCTCTTGCTTGTGGACACTAGATGCATCTAATGATGAAGCACCACTGATCCGTGACCCGCTTAAATACCCAATAGGAAACTGAGAGCAAGAGGGCTGCACATGAAACCGTGGTCTTTGAGGAGTCATACGTCACTTGATTATGATAATCATTAGAATTATCATGGTCATCGTTATTATGAAGATTTTCATCCTGATGATCAAAATCACCATCAAAGGTTTTAATACACTGTTGCTTGAAACCTTAAGGAAGATTACGGCAAAAAACCATGCAGCGCGATTCTCATGAACGTCGCATGAACTATAGCTTTCTTGTGCAACACCTATAAGAGTCGCACGATTAATTCTTAATCTTCTAATTGTTTCACAATGTGATGTTCAAGACAAGAGTATGAAATTTTTAAACAGGCTTGCATACAACGTAACAGCCGATGATTGAGAAGGCTCTTCGCTACAGATGTCGCAAAGCTTGCATACCGTAACCTACTTTAAACCATTTGACTGTTTTTTAATGAGTACTTTACACTAGGTTGCGAACAGTGTAGCGCGTATGGTTGTACTTTCGGTTCGCAAACTGAGACTCTTTCAGTTGAGTTCAGTGATCGCGTACCTGACGCTGCGCTCGCCAAACGATCATGAAAGTGTTCAAGCCGGGAAAGCAGAAGGGCAGCCCGCAGCCGGTCGTCAGGACTGTCGATATGCCGTACAGCATGCAGGTGTACGCCATTCGACTTGCCCTTAAGGCGCTCGAAAGCAAGATATCCGAATGCGAGATGGCCGTGTACATAAAATCGCAGTTCGACCGGTCTTACGGACCCGGATGGATGTGTATCGTCGGACGAAGTTTCGGATCGTACGTCTCGTATGCATTCGGCTGTTTCATGTTCTTCGAACTCGGCAATGAAGCCTTCCAACTGTTCAAAGCACCATGACAGCCACAGTACCTATTTCTACCCTTGTCTTCAGGCTAACAGGCGAAGAATGACGAAAACCGACTGATCTGATCTGATGTGCAGGCTGGAAGTTTCTGCAGGCCCGCTAATTCATTTATACTGGATACTTTAGCACAATATATTAAACTATGTTTGATATTCTGCTGTACATTCAGTCTTAAAGACGTTTCGTGGTATCGGCAATGAAACGCTCGACTACTCAGTAAGGTTTTGTGCCCTCTTTCCTCGCTTGGCATTTCTAAACATGATCAACAATGGGCCGAGAATCGAAATTTTTTGCAAATAACTCAACTCGATTAGTTGAACTATTTCTTCATCATTGTAGTTTTAAACAGGTCTTGTCCGGACAGCAATATCATACGATGGTTGTTCGGCGTTACGGCTAATATCGGTTCTATCTCAGGGACCATATCCATCATAAGACATTCAAACTAACGATACCGGGTTAAAGAGGCGGAAGTGTGGAGCGTAAAAAACAGTAAAAATCTCTTTCTCACTTTACACCTACTGCTTTATTGCACCGCCCTCTTGCTCCAGCTGAAACATCAGGACCATTTTTGACATTTAAGAGATCAAGGCTCAATGGCATTTAAGCGAAAGCAGTCCATAGGAGAATGACCGCATCTCTTAGTTGAATAAAAGCATGTTCAGCTTAAAACGCATTTCCCGCGATCCGTGGGATCGTAAATAAAATCAAGATATTCGACTAATTCAGAAGATAATCACGAAAAGTCATATTTAAATAAATTTACCACAATGCCAGTTTGGACCACTACATACCGCATGCCACAGCTAAATGATAAAGCAATTTCCCCATGGATGCTATTAGTAGCCACTCAGGTCAAGGGGTCAAATTCAGTTTATCATATACTACAGAATCCCGTCATAACGCGGGTTTTGGAGATACAGTGAACAACCGCGGCATATGGGAAAAAATCCGTGGAAAATAATTATATACTTGAAAGTATAAACACATGTTTTCACAGGTTTAACTGCAAAATACGATAAAACGAACATCACAATAAAAAACCAATGCCATATTTAATGATTATTTTTAAATAAATAGCCTGACACGATGGCTAAAGGCGTTTTTTTGTCACATACATATTAATATTTCGTAAATGCGGCAAAGATGATCGCCATTGTATTTTGTTATTCCATCCTGTTCATCAATTCACTAATGCTATCCAATACACCGCTTTAATCCTTCGGGTCTCAAACTCACTCACCTGCTCGGAAAAAGGATTATCGTAAAAAAACTCTTAAGAGAGGCAGATCTCCGTTATCGCAACATGCAAGGGAAAATTGCAAAACCACACTTCATCGATAGGTAATACATTGCTAGTGGAACCGTTTCGTAAGTAAATAGTACGAGTGGTACAAATATAAGACAATATTCGCAATCTCTTTTAAAAGTCATGTGAAATACTCTGAGGGATGCGAAGACTGAGTAATTTATTTACCCCACCGCTGCCAGCAGTCTATCGCAGTAAATTCTAACAAGATATTTAGATAGAAAATAACTAGCGGTAAAATTTGAAATGAATATTTCATAGAAAATACACAGTACAAAAAATTCAAACTCATTTAGAAAAAAACAAATCGAGTTAAAATTTGCAAAATACAAAATAAATTGCGTCATTTTTGGGGGACATGACGGGACACGCGATATATGCGAATCCGCTGAATAGCGAGGTGTGCTATAACAGGGTTTTACTGTACTTCACTGCGCCATTAGTTGAAGTTAACAGACTAAGGTATAAACAAGGGCAAAACTACGTCTATCTGGGACAGTTCAGCCCAGCAACAGAAGATGGACTATTTCAAATTAACAGAAGAATAAAAATGGCATAGATAACTACTGAAAGATTGAAAATGTTCCCATCCGGCATATGCCTTGTGCTTGAAAATGAAAGTTTTGGATTACCGCGAGTTCCCAGTGCTAACCTACGGATTCGAAACGTGGATCGCCAACCTGAAGTCTACTTACGTACACTTCAAACTACGCAACGAAACACGAAAAAATAAAAATATGTATGTCGTAAATAACAAGAAAAAATAGGACGATGAATGAATTTGTAAGAGCACGACACAAGAGTCTGCCATGTAACTAACCAAGTGAGGAAGCGATGACGGGCATGACACGACGCAAGAACAGCTGACCATCGCTTGACGGCAGAATCTTTAGAATGAGAGAGTGAGTGAGTGAGTGAGTGAGAGCAAACGACCCGTCCGTTAAAGACCCCAGGTTCGATGGCAGAATGAACTGAAGAAGTTCGCTGGATGAAGATGGATGAAAACGGCACAAAACAGACGTATGAAGAGGCCTTTATCCAGCCTGAACATCATCCTGAACGTGTCGCATGAAAAACATGAGAAACTCTGTCTAATATATCCGGATAACCAAGACACTTCATGAGTTTAGGGTGTGTTAATAAACCGTATACTGCAACAATGCATGACTGCGAATGAATACAACGACTATGAACAAAAACCATTAACTTTAGCAACGGTTTATTTCGGTCTCATTTAAGTACGCCATATGTAGTTCGCTTAACTTCAATGAGCGAATGAGTCGTAAACACCGGAACTGGGCGTTTTGGGCGCTCGCCGCTTGGAAGCACACCGGTGGCTGACTACCATTCATTCTACCCTTGCAGAGAGGTCTCCCTTACAGTCACCACAATCAAACTGCTATCAGAACTTTACAAGTTATATAAAATAATGCGATTACAGTCAAACAGTTGACGCAGATAACCACCGTCCAGCCATCGAACACTCAGATTCAAAGCAGGCAATAATATCACATCGGTCAACGCCAGAACGTCATGAATGGATTAACACATCTGCATAGGACATAATATAATATAATGGGAATAGCATCAAGTATATCGATAATTTAAAATAAGTAAAATAATTTCACACTTTTAGTCATATTTGTTAGACTGTAGCACGACAAATGAGATAAGAGGCAATAAACAGGTTAAGGTGCTCAACGAGGCTACCTCGTCTCTCAGTCATTGCTTAGACATGCAGCTTGGAAAGCAGTAGCGAATACTAATGAAAATAAAGCAATAAAACACCATGAAAGGATTAACTGCTCCTCGGGTGTCGGTGAGGAACATCGAATGGAGGTTGAAGTGACAGGAAAAACGATCGACCGACATAACTTGTCGACGTTTCGACAACTTTCGAACAGATGTCGCTTTCCACCAAGTAGATAACATGCTAAGATTCAGATTTGTCTGGACGTCAAGCCTCGTGCCGAACCGGCACCACGTCGAATAACAAAACATGGCATATCACAAAAAACGGGGCATTAAAAAGACGACGAGCGAAAAAGCTGTTCCGACAAAGAAAAAACGGCTGCCGTACGAAGCACCGCAAGGGAGAAGAACTGGCTGAAAGAAAGGATTAATGAAACATCGGTGGAAAACGGCGTATGAACGGGGGACAGAAAGTGGAGACCGATTGCTCGGCACGAAACTCGCGCAAGCTTAACAGTTTCAACGCAAGTGTGACAGAGAGACAGAGAAGCGATCGCTACGCTGGGACTAGAAAAGGCAGCAAGCTGCCAGTCAAATCGAACACCTCGGTGCCCGTTGTATTCAGCGTTGTCCAGACAACGACGAAGAATCAGCACGTAGTGGCAATAAGGCTGTCATGTGACGAGACAACCGCCCCCCCCTCCCCCCACTACCCACCGTTCAATTTTCTCCATCGCTATGTGCCATTATGCGGTGTTTACCAACGAAACCAGTCAACGTGGCGACAAGTCAGTTGTCGACGTGTTCAACGCACACCACCAGTTACATGTCGGAAGTTGGGCGTATAAAAATATAGAAGTTGACACCACCACCACCACAGCCATGTGTGTGACAGAGATAATCAAAAATCATTCGACGGACCACGCTTTAAATATGACTAAGGGATGCTGACTTCGACGCATGCATAATTCATGTTCAGACGAACTTTGAACTTTGACCTGCTTGTGAAAAACGGACAAGCGTTTTTGTCACATAACACAGAAAGGATTTGCAAATGGCAATAGAAGATCAAGTGGTGCTTGAGAAGAGCCATAGGAAATACAGCCTGAAGGAAGACATGCAGGATTTATGGCAGCACAACGGAATCTATGCAGCGTACTATGGCTAACGTCGAGAATTTCAAACGACACAACGGAGTCAGCAGAGACCATACACAAACAATTTTAAAATGCAGTTGAAAGAGGCCAATGTACCATCTAATTCAAACAAATGCTCATAAGTTGTGCTGGTCACAAGTGTCCAGACATCATTAGAAAACAAAACATCTGGAATTACTTATTGTTGCTGTTCCGCAGGATGAATATGGTGTAAAACCATGGGTAGCGAAAATAAAAAAACACCAAACCCAGCTACGGATCTGAAGCACATGTGACAGTTGAAGATCGTGCAAATAAAATTCGAGGTCATCAACACAAACAGCCTCACTCCGAGGACGAGTCCGGACCACCTGAAGATCACAGGAAAGTTGTAATATAAATCTGTCAGAAAGCTTCTGCCTTGAGTACAAGCAAAGTAGTGCAAAATATCGAAGATATAAGAAATTTGTGGCACAACGCAGCTGGCTAACCATGCCTAATTCCACTGCTTCTTCAGATGGAGAAGTAACAACTGCGATGATTCGGAAATCTCTTGCGAATCTCTCCAAAAATGAGAAACAGCTACAACTTGCTCGACCGACCGGCCGAAGAATAAGTAACTTGCAGCAAGTGTTTCGAAGGACCATATTCCATATTCGCAATAACATTTGCCGAAGTTCATACCCTAGCAAAGGCGATCAACAGCTGTCACACTATTTCACGAGTGTGGCTGCGACAGCCGAAAAGACAATCGCTGATCGAAAATAATCAATTGCTTGACTAATGACGGTGGGTTCATTTATTCGAGCAGCGAACTGAAACTCATTTCGAATCTTTATCGAAATGAGGTGAAATC